CGACACTTGAATATAGTCCAGTGAAAGCGCACCAAAACTTGAACATTGGAAATTTTCTTCATTTTTGGCGCCCTTTCGACTACATCTCTCGCTTATTTTATGTACAGTCATGGACAAAATTGAGCGTACGCCTATAAATTTTGTGTTTTATTTTTTCCAGTAACTTTTCATCTCAAATGTAATATATCAATGGGAAGTACATAAAAAATCAATAATATTGGCAATTTTGAACATCTAAATTGGCCGGCCAATAGGCGGCTTATGGCTCTCGGTAAAAATGGCCAAAAATTCTCCAGCCGTTCGATTTGAAAAGTTTAAATGCAGTTTTGAAGGCCTTCAGGAGCAGATACTTTTAAACGCTGAAAACTTTCGGATCGGCTTCAATTTGGGCAAGTTATGGCCGTTGAATTTTTGGCCGTTTTTACCGAGGGCCATAAGCCGCCTATTGGCCGGCCAATTTTGATGTTCAAAATTGCCAATGTTATTCATTTTTCATGTACTTCCCATTGATATATTACATTTGAGATGAAAAGTTACTGGAAAAAATAAAACACAAATTTATAGGCGTACGCTCAATTTTGTCCATGACTGTAAATCTCGATACAAATTCACGTTTGCGCGTTATATTTTTGAATCGTTCCAAAATGTGGCTTTAGAGCGCCTTCGGTGTCCTTGCATTTATTCAAATGCCGGCTGCACCGGCGGTTAGACAGGCGCTGACTCCAATATATTGACCGCTTTAATTTTCGTATGAAATATTCGCAGCTCAATTGGCATCAAGCAGACGAGTACTGTAATAATCATAGCATGTTTTTTGTTGCTATTATGTCGAAAGAGGAGGACGACGCTATTGTGGAATACATGAAACGAATTCATCGTAGGTTGATGGCGTTTGTTTATATTTCAACTGTTCTTTGAAAAATTAACGGACATTTGGTTCCCACAAGCGCTACTTTTATTTTAATATTTGTGCCTTTAACCCTTCAACTCAGGTACTGAAATACCACTTTGGGTATATGCTAATAACATAAAATCGAAAGAATACATTTGGTCGAGAACTGGAGCATCGATTGAACGTGGGTATACTAACTGGTACCCTAATGCACCTAATAAATTAGAGAGAAATGGCGAGGTTCAACATTGCCTAGAGATTAATTATAAGGGCAAATGGAATGACTGGTATTGCGACCGTCAATTGTTTGTATGCGAATTACGACCAGAATCTTGTTCATATCAATACAAGTTTTGCAATCGAATGATATATTAAATTTCAAATGAAAAATAAATTGCTTGAGTACATTTTCTTCACCCAATATCTTTATTCACCGATTTAAGATACTCCAGTTCTTACGAACGGATTCACCGAATTGAGGCTGTGAGAATGAAAACGGCAATACAGGAATAAACATTCTGAAGCGCATCAAGAAAAAAAAAATCGCAAAAGTGAATCATGAACCTCCCATGCTGCCCATGTAAATTCATGTTTCACTTTTGCATATTCAGAACTCATGATTCATTTTTACGATTTTTTTTTCTGGATGCGTTTCAGAATGTTTATTCCTGTATTGCCATTTTCATCCTCACAGCCTCAATCTAGGGGCATTTCACTCGCATTCGAATACATGATCATTCGTGTACGAATCCTGCATTCGCAAAAAACAGTATAAGTATTTGCATTCGCACCATGTATTCGTACTGCCGCGCGAGCATTCGCGCGACTCCGCATATGAAACGTATTGAAACACTCGCACATGTATTCGTCGCGAATGCGCTCAGTTGCGATGAAGTGTCAAACACAGTCAAACATGTGGAAAGATGTCAGACGTGTTTGAAAAATTACAACGTGCATTAGGTGAATCTCTACCAGAAATTTTACAATTAATTCTCACACATTCTGGATTTAATACAGAAAGCGCATTAGCTACGTTGAATACAAGCATTTGCGGTCGCAGGTGTCCGATTTTTTGCAAATTTGTTTCCGTTTGATTACAATTCTTGATTAACTGTGGCAACTGGATGATAAGCAATCGGTGACCCGGTTTAAATTTAAAATGATTCACATTCTCGTATGATGTTTCTTTGAGAATTTCTGGGTTTTCAATGACATAGTTCCCGATATCCATAATAGCATCGTTGTCAATGGACATTAGAGATGATTCATTTTCAAATGCACAGAATTCCAGGATTTTAATAATATCGGCCGAAATTTTTACATTCAAATATTTTTCTAATTTGAAAATAACATTTTCCAGTCCCTAAAATACAAAACACAACTTAAATTGATATTAAATTTGTATCGAAATAACTATTTACCATTTTGGTGAACTAATGTAAACAATGTAGTCGCAACGATTAACACAACAAATCAATATAGATCTGTCAAGTGCATTCGCATTCGCGCAGCAATATTCGGACGTATTTGCTAATGCGCCGTATAGATACATTAAATGGTTATTCGTACGAATGCGAATATTCGGCACGAATATCAGTATTTGCGAGTGTTTATATTCAAATGCATGGCAAAGTATTCGCGCATTCGTACGAATAGCAGTATTCGCATAGAGTGAAATCCCCCTAGGCCTCAATTGTGACCATATTTTCTGAATATCAATGATTTTCACGAAATCGTCAGTTTTAATGAAAATTCCTAGCGTAGTAGTAGCCAAATATCTGCACCAGCCGCGTAGCCAGAGATGAATTTCAGGGGAGGGGGAGGGGTTCGATTGATCTCATTTTCAAGGGGAAGGCGAAATTTTCTTTTCCAGAGTTGGAAAACGCTTTGAGAGCCAATATCTGCTAAAGACTTGAAGAGGTCATTAAAATAGTGGTTTTGTGCGTTCTCAATACATATTCGGCCAGTACTTGGCGGTGTGAACAAATAAATAAATATTGAGCTTTCGTAAGAAATGTCATCATTCCCGAGAAATCGTCACATTTGAATGGGCAACAGAGCGACCATTCCACACGAAATCAATCAAAATTCACATCGAGGTTCTCAGAATCGGCTGAAATTTTGCACGGAAGTTGGGTTTGGGCAAAAACCCAGAAAGTTAAAATATTTCCCCCGGGTCTGCCTCTGGAGACCCTGTATGGATAGTGCAAAAATCGAAATTTCGCAAATTTTCGAATTTTTGGACCATTGATAAAAAAATTTAACGCGATCATATCTGAATGAAATTTTCACACAAGTTAGGGTTTGAA